TCAAGGGTTTGGCTTGGCCCCTTAGTTCCAGTGAAGGGAACTCTTAAGGCATCAGCATACCAAGACATTTTAGACAACTTCATGCTCCCAACTTTGTGGGAACAGTTTGGGGATGGCCCCTTCCTGTTCCAACATGACTGCTCACCAGTGCACAAAGCAAGGTCCATAAAGACATGGATGAGCGATTTTGAGGTGGAGGAACTTGACTGGCCTGCACAGAGTCCTGACCTCAACCCGATAGAACACCTTTGGGATGAATTAGAGAGGAGACTGTGAGCCCGGCCTTCTCGTCCCACATCAGTACCTGACCTCACAAATGCACTTCTGGAAGAATGGTCAAACATTCCCATAGACACATTCCTAAACCTTGTGGACACCTTCCCAGAAGAGTTGAAGCTGTTATAGCTGCAAAGGGTGGGCCAACTCAATATTGAACTCTACGGACTAAGACTGGAATGCCATTAAAGTTCATGTGCGTGTAAAGGCAGGCGTCCCAATACTTTTGGCAATATAGTGTGTGTGTGTACTCCAGCTTTGGTGGAAAGACCCTTTTCACCCCCCCCCTCTCACCTTCACTGTGTTAATCTTTACTTTTTTCTGTAGTATATACAACTCATGGAGTCTTTGGCCCAATCCCATTATGGGTCCTCTTCTAGCGAGAGAGCAGCTTGCTCAGTGACATTCAGCATTAAACTGTGAGTGAAGGACATTGCGATGACACATCCCAGGGTGTGTGTTTATGACTCCCTGGGCTCACAGGAAGTAGGTTGACTGATACTGGCGGTCATTCAGTGCAGAAAAGGGCCAATGGTGTGACATTAACACAAGAAATAAGAAAAACAGGGGTCTCCAGAAGAAGGCACATACAGTATACCAAAAGAAATGGCCACATAGGTTCCCACCTTTTCCCATTTTTCTACTTTGTGTGCTGTCTATCTACATTGAACAGGTTCTCTGTGTATTTTGTCCCCTGTTACTAGGGAAGGCATTGTGGGGAAATCTACCTATTGGAGACATAGCAATGGAAGATTAACCATTCCCACTCTGTCCAAAACAGGAAAAAAGCTTTTGACCAGAGCTGTGCGTCAGACGTTAATGCCAAGAAATATTAATCAGTCAGTAAATTGTTCGCTGATGAACTCTTCATCAACATTTCTGCAGTCATGACAGTTTTTTTTAATATAATGCAGACATTTTCCGATAAATAGAAACGTCTTAAAAAAATGTCTGTCAAAAAGCCGACTGAAAAATGACTTGTGTCTAAATGGTATATTCCATTTCATGGGAACATATTTGTTCATATCAACACCTGTGATGATAGCCGCAAGTTGCTCTCTGTAGTAGTGTCAGGTTTAAACTGATCTTACGGGCTTTGGGGATTGCAATTAGATATATTTTCTTATTACACTTTCAGTGTCACGACTTTTATCTTTCAACTGCATGTAAAGCTTTTCCTTCCACTGGTTTCCATTTATTTTTGACCGATGAGAGAGATTAGTAAAATATAGCATGTTTTGGGTTGATTAGTGATACAAAGTGAAAAGATCAGTTACTGGTGAAATCCAGACATGCTGACAACAGAAACGTCGCTGTTTTGTTTGAACTAAAATCTTACATTTGGAACTCCTACACTGAACAGACTCTTCTCTTGCATCAAGTATGTATGTATATATATATATAGATATATCTATATATAGATATGTATATATTTCACTTTGCAAAAAAATATAGTGAAAGACAAGTGTGAAACACAAAACAATGTGAAGAAAGCAATGTCTGAAAATATCAGACTCTATGACAATTTTCTGTGTATGTGAGCCCCCATTGTAAATTAAATAAAGATATAAATATGTATTTGAATATATAAATAAAGTATATAGCAAATCAATCCCAATAAATTGTCTCTTCAACTGTCCTTTATTGAATAACAATCAAATCCCAACTTCAGTCAGTACAATTACTGAGAAGTTTCCACCACTTCTGTGCCAGTGTTGTTATCTTCCACCTTCCACCAGCCCAGTTAGGAGTGTGAACCCCACTCCTAACTGGGCTGCTCACCTGATTACTTTCTCTCAAAAGGTCTGATTGTGCATCTGTTTACTTGCTCTGTAGTTTGCTCAGTTCTGCCTTTTAATTGGCAATAGTGGTCCTCTTCTTGTATGCATGGCTCATGCAAAGGATAATGTAGTGCATAACAATAGATACTAATATGGAATATTTATTAAATTCTACTCGCATAAAACAAAAGAATTGCTTGTTCATAAAAACAGCAGGAAGACCGGTACTCAGAATACCTCGCAGGTTAAGATGACCTGATCCACATTCGCTCAGTTCACTATCCCACTCACCAACAGCACGAAATAAGTCCAACATATGGTTGTGGATAAAACAAGTACAGCAAGTACTAGCGTCTCTGATTCCCTGTTTTATAGCACATTAAGTATGGAACAACTTAATCTGGCAAAAAAAGTTGTAAAATGAGAGGATTCCATTGGACGTCTTCCTAAGATTAGCCTGTTACTTTCATTAAGCTGGACATAATAGGCATTCCTTTAATTGTCTCCAATATAGTTCTCCGACACAGAGTCAACATTACTAGCAGCCCAAAGAGATGATGCAAAATATCTATACAGCTGTCAAGCTGTATAGATATTTTGTTTTTGGTTGTGGAAACCTTGACATCATTTCCTGTGAAATAGAACTAGCAGCATTTCGTTTTTATTTTTCATACCGGTGAACAGAGCTAGGCGTGATTTTATTACTTCTCACAGCACAGCACGCTCTAGCCTAAACAAAAGCTGTTTAACCTACTAGTGCCTGTTTCCCATAATGCCTTGCTTTTTCCAGAAGCATGTAAAATCAAACTACAACAGTGTTAGTGGCTGGGTAATAATTCTCTGCAACAATTACCACCCGCTGGAATATTTTTGCACTTCTAATTCCATGTTATTAATAATGAATAAAATTGCAATTTTCCTAGCTCGCTGGGGGCAGTAGGGAATCATTCCAATGAATATTTCAGCATGTTATTTTAATCATGGTTCCACCATATTCATGTGTGTCATATTTTATGCTTATAAATTCCAGGCTGCCGAGGGACCCCATAGTCATTAAAAGGCAAACTGTTTATTGGAAGGTTGTTCTTTGATTTACAAGCCTTGTTATAACCACTGTAAAAGAAAGCAAGCTGTGTGTCATTAATACTTGTAATTTGATGCAGCATTAGTAAATGGGCTCCTCATGATTAATGTTTTTTAGCAGTATGAGAAGTGATTTAAAGCTAGCTACTTCAATATGTTTCATATGTAAATACAGGGCCTGAATTTGTATTTATTTTGCTTATTGGTTTGCAAATAAATAAAGAAGAACTTTGATTTACTAAGTACTGTTTGTATCTAAACTGCCTTCCCAACAAACAAGATGCTAGTGCGGCTGCATACTGTTTCAAGGGCAGTTATGCTCATTTGTCACCTCCATGAGACTAGCATGGAGCCTCAGAATCAGCAGTGGACTGTGCTGTTTTTATGTTTAAGAGTCCTTTATATCTATGCTGAAGTACTGCTGTTATAGGGTGAACATACTGTATGTCCTTTTGGTTTGTGGGGATTATGCTATATTTCTCTTGCTCGTCTACAGCAAGAAATTATGTAGAAGTAGAAGTAGAAGAACAGCGCTTGCATTATTTTAGAGGCATTGACTTTGGCTGCTTTTCGATTTGATAGAAATTGTACTCTTAGCCTTTCATTTCATAGTGTTTCCGCCACTTCTCCTGCAGTGCCAAAGTAACTAAGATTTGACTCCCCATAATCTTAGAATTGGTCAGACACACCTTCTTCTTCTCTGTCTTACAAGTCTGTGTGAGGACACTTTGGATGAGGGGTGTGACTAGTACTCAACATTTCTACAAATAAGCCTGTAAGGGGGAAATATGTCAGTGGTGGGCAGTTCAGAGGCGGTGTTCAAGCTGTTGGAGTTGTAGGAGCTTTTTTAGTGATGTAAATGATGTGTGGTAGGGATATTCAGATACCAAGTACATGTACAGATACTTTGCCAGCTCCAAGACTAGACCAAAGAAAAACTGAAAAGTTAGGAAGCAGCTGTCATTTGTAAGGAGCATTGGCTACGGGGCTCCTGAGATTTGTGCATCTCTCTTTTATTGTATCATTTGTTATATAGTGATGCACCGATACCATTTTTCCAGACTAAGTACAAGTATCAATACTTGTCAAAGTCCTCACAAATACCAATTACTGATACATTTTTGTTTGTCATGTGACAGTTTTTCTAAAACACTACAGACTAATTATTTCAGGACAGTGGTGGAGCGCCAGGGCCCAGTCGCAGCTGCAACCCCGGTCGTTCTCGTGAAAATGCCAAGTATCGGCACTGGTAGCTGTGCATCCCTAGTGGCATGTCCTTTCAAGTGTATAAAACACGGTTAGGCAAACGTTCCTCCAGTGGTAAAACTTCAAATGCCATCATGCATCTGCTTCCAGTAGTCATGCCTGTGGCTGTCGGAGTTTTACAATGCCTTTTGGAATTTCTAGTTGCACCACAGCTGGAGGGTTGGAGTTTGTCTACCCCTGTTATAGAGCTTACAGCCTGTCTTGCATCAGGTCTCCTTTAATGTACACTATAGAAGTAACTTCAAGAATGTGATTTATTTATTTTTTGGTGTTGTTTTTTTAAAAATGTTATATATATATGGGTTTATTAACAGTCGTGTATTAAGTTAACATAAAACATCTTTTCTACATTGGCAAATTAATATGTTCTGTTTTGCAGTGCCGTTTGCTATTGCTGCTACACTTTCCACTTGCTTTTCTCTGTGATCTTTAATCTGTGACCTAACATGTCCCTAAAAATCCGGTCACCCTTTCTGATTATTGTAGTGCAATCTGTTGGTTTATACTTTTCTATTAAGACTTGTGCAACCAATGCAATAAATGTTTGCCATAAAACAAAAATCGCCATCTAACTAAATCCCTCTTCCATTTTAGTCAACTCCATGATTTCTGGCGACTGGACTATTGGGAGGATGACCTAAGGCGGAGAAGACGTTTTGTGCGCAATGCATTCGGCTCAACTCACTCGGACGCCCGGTTAAAATCTGCCATTGAATACGGTCAGTACATTACTCTACTGCTCACAGTCACTAAAATAAATGTAATTTGTGTGGCCAGTGTTATTTTTTCCATACCACTTGGATTTGCTTTAGAAAGTTGGGAAACACACAATTTTCTTCTTTTCACGGCTGAAGAAAAAAAAATGTTAAAATGTTTTGTCCTGTTTCACGTTTCGTAAAGCAGATGTGCAGACGTGTTTGCCTTTTTGAAGTTTGGACACATGGAGATCGGCATATGAGAGTTTCAGTTGACCCGTCCCTGTTTAAATGTGCCTTTTACACTGATGCTATTTCTATTCCTCTTGGTGATTCTAATGAGTTGACTAATTTATGAGCTTGTCATGTGAAAAGGATTTGGTACAGTTTGATGTACTTTCAGCGTCTGCTGTTGAGATGTGATTAATAAAAGAGCTAGGGGCAGGGAGGGTTTCTTTTTCTTGCTAATTAATTCTCATTTATTTCTTTCTTCAATAGCAGTTTTTGCATGTTTAAAGTTCATTTTTCAACATTATCAGTTTTCATTCATACAGGGGCTTGCATTGCTGACCTTTTTTTTGGAAAATGCTAGTTGTCTTTCTCTGTGGCTTTAGCATTTCCAAAACGGAGCAAGCATGGAAATCAAGAAAACCAGAACTCCTAATCTGCATACTGGTTTAGATCAGTGCTTCAGTACTGAATGCCATGGATCAACATGACAGTCGGGGGAACTAGTATTTTCAAATGGACAGATGACCGCCAATCTTTAAAGGGAGTGTATGATGTTATTGGGTATTAGCAGAATGGATGCTGAGATCTGTGCCTCATTCTTTGATCTTGTTTCTGGGGATTACTTCAGAAAGATTCTTGCTTCTTTTAAACAGTCCTATCTGAAGCCCACAAGGGGCATATTTTCTGTATATAAAGCTAAACTCAGGCACATACACAGATAAAACACATCTAAAGAACCTGTTTTACTTGTCAGTGGATTTGTATTTGCGGTATTCTATTCTGACATACAGTATACACAGCCACGTTACACAGCCGACTGGTAGATGACACCACTTACAGTTTAGGAATACAATTGTGTTCTCTCCCAACTCTCAGCCTTCTGACTGGGTAGTGAAAGTGCAGCAGCAGACTGATGAGGTCATTACTCTGCTCTCAACATGTTGCTTGTCAGCACATTTCCATGTAGCTCCTACTCCTGCCTTTCCTTCCTCCAGTCTAAGTACTGCTGCAAAGGGCATCAAAGAGGCAGACACCAAGTCAAATTCAAGCACTTTCACTAGTTGTATAGAAAAAAAATAGGTAATGATTAATATATGCAGATCTAAATGTATCTGTGTCTTTTATATCATAATGGAGTTCAGCTTTAAACTAAACCTGTCACAAATCTGGGTAGTTAGATGTTTTGATGAAAAAAGGAACACATAGAGGTAATCTCACTGCAAACCATACATCAAAACCATCAGTAGTTGCAGAGGTAGCTGAAGGTGTGAATAGTTTTCAACTCTCAAGCTATGGATGTTGAGATTTGCTCCACCCTTTCATGTCTCCCAAGCCCCACCCATCATATTAATGGACCACCGGAAAGGTGGTTTGACCAAGGTCAACTTTTAAATGAAAAATTGAGATTCGTGTAATTTCAGCTGCCTGCTATCTATGTATCTTATATTCAACATCCCATTTTCACTGACTATAACCTCTGCTTAAAGTTCTTTAAAAGTTCTATACCTGCAAAGGAAATATGTCTCCTGCTGCTCACACCACTGAACACTTTTCCGATGCGGAGTAATCCCCGCTGAAGTTTCTTACAAGATTGACACTTCTGGAGTGTTGATCTTCTTGGTCCTCCACAGTGCTCGGTAGTTCTTCCTGCTATACTCCATGTTGCTACTGTAGCCAGTAATAGGTGGAGGTCAGCAGAAGAAGCCATTGAACACCGTGAGGGACCCAGGAAATAAACATTACAGAGACAGTCATTCTCTGATGAAATTTCAGCCTCGAATTATTAAAAAAGAACAACCACGGGCAGTAGAAGAGGCAAGTATTAATTTACTGTGCAAGCATCAGATTCACTCAAAGAAACTTTGTATTGCTGTACATGTATGACTTCAAATTTGAAACCACCAGTGCAAGAAAGGTCAATGCCACAGATGCCATCTTTCATGCAATGCCTGCAATGTGGCTTAAAACTCTACTCAGCATTATAAGAAGGACATTCAGCCAGCTATTAGACTGGGGATGAGGATTCTGGGAAATTCTACCTGAAAAATGAGTGCTGTTACCATGCATGGGCAGATCTCTTTGTGTGAATGGCAAATGTATTAAAGATTGACTCATGCTGTGTAATCACTTGCTGCCGGGGATCATTGTGAGTTTTTATCTCACATTCACCCATCAGACTGATGCAGCACATGTGTAGTGCAGTCGCCTTTACCTTTTGTTAAGCAGCTGATGAGAGTTTCCCCCATTTCCCCCCCATCTCTCAACACTTGCCAATTTTGGGCTGTCATCTGGAGACATAAGGGGGATGGGGTTCCTCATGAACACAAACCAGTGAACATCCTGTAGATGAGGTAAAGTGAGATCTTTCAAGTAGAATTAATAAATAAAGCATTGTGTTGTCATTTCTGTATATATGAACCTCCTGTGTTGGTGGAGAGGATCCATTTGTCATCTGCAAACTGCTTAGTTTATTTGAAGACCGACCATAGCCCATTGCTTGTTAATTTGTTTGTCAATCGCTAAACCTAGCCAAAACATTTTGTTCTTGGTTTGGATAGTGTGTAGAATGGTTAGAACCATGTCAGAATTTAATTGCTGTCCTTGTGAGATTGTCTTGGGCATTGACATCAGGGCAGGAAGTGGTGGAAATTCTCACAAGCGTAGACTTGGGGAGCAGTAAAAACCTTTTGGCTGGAGTCCTACTTTAAATGAAGCATGTTCTGGAAATGGTGTAGACCGCATAATACTAATAGTGCACGATGTGCTGGTCCTATAGATTTTTCTTAGCAATGAAGCCGGATAGAATAATGGCTCATCCCACCAAATGGCTTTCTCTGCTGTGAGAAAATGACAAATATACTTTAAAGTAATGTCTGCATTATTTTCTCCTAAACCTGCATAAGACATTATACTCCGCTTGTTTCTTTACTAACTTGTCAGATATCACTTAGTTTGCGAACAAACTGTTCTGAAATATTAATGCATGAAAGCGAAGTTGGCAATCTCCACTGTGGCACTGATTAAAGGCGTCAGCTTAAGTAAGTGTGATGGTGCATTTCAGGAGAGAGAAGCTAGCCACAGTCTAGCACAAACACACAGCAAGGATGACAAAATGAATCAGTTCTATTTGGTCTGGTGGTAGGAAGATACAGGGAGGACTGCAGCTGACAGGACAGCTACGTGCCTGCTCGCTGCTTTATGACCTTGAAAGCAAATTCTGTAGCCTTACCGCTTGTGTACACCTAAATGAGTATTGATGGTGCATTTCTCAAAGTGTGCTGATACAGTCTGCTGTACACAATGCATCAGCCTTGTGCCTAGCCAAGCATGGTGCCCTGTGATTTACCTGTGAGGTAGTACTGGACACTTTGGCTTTTTTTATCTACCTTAACTATTAAGTAAATATTTTTCTTTTGGTTTCTGAGGTAAATTTTGGAATTTAAAATAATATGTACAGAGTAATCGCTTGCAGAGTACTTGAACCACACACTATTATGTTTGGTGGAGGGAAATGGTGGTGGTACGATTTTTTAAATACTGTAGAATTGTTATCAGGGGCTTGTGACTTGAGGTATCCCTTCCTAAAAGGCAGGTACTTCCTAGTGCCCTCTACAGTATTATACTAAAACACTGGGCAGTGGTAATTAATGTGCCACCAATAAGGCACGTGTTGGCTTGAGGGGCTTATGACATTTAGCTGTGAACTGGATCTTGACCTATGGACCATATGTGGTTTAGCAGAAATTAAGTAACAATTATGGCTTGCTCTTACCCTGGCTGAAGCACATTATTAATGTTGATCACAGGTGTCATCTGTGGGCAGACTAGCAGCATTAGGGCCCATCCACACTAGCCCATCCACTACAGCGCTGCGTTTTAGTGGAGGGGCTAGTGCGTTGTGGCAGTGTGCACCTGCAGTGCATCCAGTGCACTGCGATAAAATTCAGCTTGTTTGCATTTTATCACAGTGTACCGTGCATCCCACCTGTGTTGTGGTGTGAAAGGTACAGATACATAGCCACACAATTGTGTTTTCCTTGCAGTGACCTGCGTTGATCTGGTGCAGTAAAACGCAAGTCACCACAATGTGTGAACAGGGCCCTTAGTGGGAATGTCGGATATCTCATGCTGCGTTGTCCTCATGGCATGTGGCATTATATCTGAAGACCTGAATAGCCATGCTGCAGTCACAAAGTGTTTTCTTTTTTTGGGGGGGGGGGGGGGGGGGGGTTTAG